TGGCGAGGTGGGGTCCTCCACCATGCCTCACAAGGTAAGTTTGAAGTATCACGACTCGTGACTCACGAGCCGTGCGCACTACACAAGATTTCAGGTCAACCCGATAGACTTCGAAAATGCTGAGGGTAACTGTGGTGTGGCGATCTCGATGTTGCATCATTTCTCAACTAAGCTGCCTATCTCCCGAATGCAGAGGGATCTGACAGACAGTAATTTAGATACTATTGATTCACCCTTGCTAACAGCGTTACTGTAGGTACGGTACAGCGGGCAGTCGGGTCCGCTTTTGCCCATACTATTATAGCCATTGATTCCACTATCAAGGGCCTCAGCAAGGTACACGAGTATGATAGGTTCCCAGGTTCGTATAGGGAATGCTCAGGTCATGGTGTCCGCTCCTATTGCCAACCGTGAGCTCGAGGATCATTGGGCGGTGACTGGGGAAGCCGTGCAAACCGTCATGAGACGATACGGGCTGGAGAGACCGTAAGAAACGGATCAATGCCTCACCATGATTCATGGTCTGTTCTATCAGTTACGAACGTCTGAAGGAGTTCACTCGTGGTCGTGAAATTGATGCCACTTCTATGAAGGAGTTCACAGAGAATATCGGTCGTGAGATTGGAGAAGACAAGCCCGGCGTGAAGGGTCTTGAGAACCTCACCCCTCAGACGTAAGAGAGATTAGGATGACCTTGATGTAGTTGCGATTGTGTTAGATATATCGGGTTGGCCCCTGTCATTGCTCGTAAATACGGCACACCAGTGGCAGAGAAGAAAAATGACTAGATTGAGGTTTTGGTTTGATGGAGTTACTGATAACAGCTGATATTCCTAGCTAACAACTAACTACGACTCGAAGAAATGACGTGAATGCGGTTTTAGAGTGTTGATTGTCATTACGATAGTCTCCCGAGATAACAGGAGTTGTGTTACCATAGTTGTTAAATAGAATTGGTTCTGCCCTTATACTTGGTCGAGTATCACTTGCGACTCAAAAGTGGCGCCTCATTGGTGTGATAACCTTCTACAGCAAAGTTCGAATTGTTATAGCTGCGGTGCGAGCCATTCGTGTGCCTCTGGAGGCACATGAGCGATATGGGATCAAACTAGTCTGAAGCGATCGAGATGCTGTCATATATAATCTTCTGATCAGTAGGCGTCAAGCTGGGGTATATACACTATGTGCGACAGAATCAACTCAAATATGCATTAAAATGTGCAAACTATGGATGTCACGAGGATCGAACTCTAGCAGGCTAATCTTGAACAAGTAGACCAACAAAACAGAGATGTTAATACAGTTCTCTTACAAGTCAATTTTCGAAACGGGACGAAGAGTTGTGCAAAAAGTGGTATTAGACGGATAGTAAGAAATGAATAGTTAGACAAATGATCGAGGATGAGCTAGGAGAGTGACACACTCGGAGAGCGAGGGAGGGGAAGAGAGAGTGCGAGGGAGGGGGAGAGAGTGCGAGGGAGGGGGAGAGAGAGTGCGAGGGAGGGGGAGGGAGAGTGCGAGGGAGGGGGAGGGAGAGTGCGAGGGAGGGGGAGGGGGAGGGAG